CCCCATGATGCCTAAGGTTAAGGGATTTATGGGTGGGACATGTGGGAAACTTGTTTCTTATAAGAGGATGTTTATCGGGGGGTATAAGAACCAGCGGCGTAACTTGCAAAGGTTTGGCTGGATTCCAATTCTTTCAGTCTCGCGTTATCGACTAACTTGTCAGAATGGATCACACCGATCAAATTCAACAGTCTGAAGAAGTTTACAGATTTAACACTGTTCGTTTTGATAGACGAAGACGAGGATTTCCAGAATTACCCACGTATGTATATCTGGGTTATTGTGTGATAAAATTACAACGTCACGGTGCATGTCTCATGTTGACGTGTTGTTAGCTAAAGATGCAAAACATTGTATAATATTTGTATATTATGCAATATTTAATTATTATAATGGAATTACCAGGGAGTTGTTCCGTAATGTGGCCGTGACTGCGCGTATCCATTCTTTTCCATTAGATGCACCAAAAACAACAACTGTTAAAAGACCAGTTACGACAACACACCGCAATGCCGGTGAGTAATTACGACAATGTTTAGAATAAACAGTTTAGCTTTACGGCCATGTCAGTCTTAAAGACACACAGGTACTTTCTCCACATCAATACACACGTGTGTCTATTTCACAGATGCTGGGGAGGGAACACGCTACACGTTTAAAAAACCTTGTTTGTGCTTTACAATACCCCCTCAAAACCTTGTGGAGACTCAGGCAGATGTTCATGTTATACCAGAGGTTGGGGAGCATATCACCAGATCGCCTGGGAGAAGAGGTCGGTATTAAGAATTGTCTGTGCCGTGTTATAAAACATTCTTTTAACATACACATTTGAAGGTGTCTATAACTAATTAATAAAAATCCCCACCGTTTTGTATTTTTGGTAATTTGGGGTGTTGAGTTCTTTCACTAATGGTATTTTCCCTCTCCATGCAAAACCCGAACCTTCAAAAAATAAACTACGAAGCAACACTAAGACTTTAACTAAAACAGTGAACTCAAAATGTCTCAAATCAACAAAGGTTCATATAATTTAAGCGTGGTCAAGATGTGTTATGAACCACTTTTTGCAACAGTTACTTCTTTTGTTAGAATGTTAATTCGTTGAAAGATCCTAGTTCACGTAGTTTTCTGTTTTGGGTTATTAAAAATCCTTATTTTAAAACTGCTTAGCCTTTAAGACTTTAAAGCTAAAAACGACTGGTTTGCTTCTGGTGTCTATATGCAGTTAACCTTACCGCTTGTCCCAGTAGCGCCATCACTGAAACCGATGTAACAACATGGCCGGGTAACTTGTTCCATTCACCCACAGCCTTTTGTGTAAGGATGCGCCACATGTGACAGAATTATCTTGACAGAATAACCTTGTATGTACAGACTATAGACGCTGTTGTAATGTAGTGTGCTCTCTGAAGGCACCAGTTCTGTAGGGTTTGGGCATTTACTGCAACAATTATTAATTGAAGCAGTAAATCACAAAATTGATTCTTTTGATGGCTTTAGAATCCAACCATGCGATATAACTCAAACAACACACACACACAGGTACTCATACACGCGGATACATTTATTAATACATAAAATATGCATATAAACTAACAGATCTTATCGAGAGGGTTGTCAGAATACAAAAGGTATATATTCAGTCAGTTACAAAGAGTTACACATATCAAGAGGATATCAGGGACTGGTAGGGCCGAGTAACCCACGTGGGACTCTGATGCCCATGGAACTCCAGGTAAAAACAGGCAACACAGAGGGCC